CTCTGTCCTCACACCTGTGATGTCATCAGTCTGCTGCAGCTGAAGCGAGACGGTGACGTCGTCCTGTTCAGCGATCCTCTGACGTGTGCGTCCTCTGTCCTCGGTCTCTGCAGGACGTCTGGTTTCATGTCTGCGTCGGTCTTGTCTCCGTGGCCCAGAGGACGCGTCGGTCTCTTCTGTGGACTCCTCCTGCTGGCCTCCTCGCCGTTCTTCACCTCAGGTACGGCTTTTGTTCTTCACCCTTTTTATTTAATTCGTTTTGAATTTCTACCACCTTACAGCTGCCCTTGTTCTCACTGGCTGCTGTCTGTCTGTTAGCAAAATATCTCAGGATCCAGAGTAAAAAAAAAAAAGACTCAGTGGCACATGAGCTCAACATCTGGACTGTACCAGATTCAAGATGGCCGCCACAGCTAATCACCTTTTATCAAACGCAATAAAGCTGCAGCTGTTTGACAGAATCTGAGGTGAAATTAGGGGTGGTAGTAGCTGAGGGTCGTCTCATCACAGACTGAGGGCGGACTGATCGGCGGGCGACAAGCATTTTGTTCCATAGTTCTTTGAGACCCGCCTCGGCCGAGCTTTCCTTAGAAAAATGCACGTTGCCCGCCTTTGAGGCAGGAAATCACTACGATACTTTTGTTTTTTTGAGGTGCACAGTTTGCGTTGCGGAGGACCCTCAGCTACTACCACACACAATGTCACCCTCAGTCAAAGTGACGGCGCTGCATCCTTTTTTGTGTCGTCCATCTTGAATCTCTCCAAAGGCTAATCCGTAGATGTACACGATTACTTTCTGAGAGTTTGGTTAAAATCGTTCTCTAATCCCGACCTGTTTGGGTTTCTACTCGCACGTTTCAGCTGAGCGAGGGTTCCTGAACCTGTCGGAGATCTGTTCACGGCACAAAATCTGAAGTGAAACTGCCTAATCTGTCACATTCTGCTGCAATCTCCTCTGGAATGTTGATCCTCTTTGTTGTTGTTTACTTTTCCAGTCATAAGGAAACAAATGAACACGGAGGAAGGTTTAAATCTTGAACGTTACCCAGAGTTCCCTGGGAGCTGCTGTTGAATGACCTTATGGGAACTCTGTGTTTGATTCTGCAGGCAAGTTGAGTAACTGTTCCCACCCTCTGGTACCGGAACATGGAGGGTTCCGCTGCGACCCGTCTCCCTGTCGCGGTTTTCCTCACAAGAGCTCGATCCGTTTCTTCTGCGAGCCCGGGTACCACATCAGCAACAAGGTGACGCCCGTCTCCAAGTGCCGCCATGGCAGGTGGATCCCGCCCATCCCGCTGTGCATCAAAGGTACAAAGACTGGAATGGAATCATGTCGGAGTATTTTATGTTCAGCATTGGGTTTTAGTCAGCAGGTCTCTGGTTTGAATCTGCATCTAGTCTTTTGAGAGACTAGCTGCGCTGATCAGGCGAACTGATCCAGCCGGTCGAAGCAGATGGCCGCTTGTCCCGAGTCTGGTTCTGCTGGAGGTTTCTTCCTCATGAGGAGTTTTTCCTTTCCGCTGTTGCCTTCATTCTTGCTCAAGATGAGTCTGTGATGAAGTTAAATTCAAAGCAGTCTGCTCCTCAGATAAATAATATTAACTTTTTTTTTTATATATATGAATGTTTCTGTGCAGTGCCCTGAGATGGTTTCTGTTATGACTTGGCACTTTATAAATAAACTAAACTGAAACTGATGCATTCAGTAACCTCAGCACTACCGACGTATAACTGTAGAGTTGCTATTGCGGTAGCTAATGTAATAATCTTTCACACCATCGTTTCTGAGAAAGAGAAGGTTGATAAACCTGAAAAACATTTGAAAATGACCGTTGGTTAGCTGTGCCTAGTCTGCATGCAGTTTTGCATCGTTCTCTATACTCCACTCTCAAAATACGTCAGGCCTGATAAATTACTGTTAGACAAAACGTAACTTCAAAGTGGACAGGATTATCTCTTTTAGGGATGCACGATATTATCGGCGTGGTATCGATATCGGCCGATATTAATGTTAAATTTAAATATCGAACATCGGCCATTCCATTAAAATAACATGCAGATATAAAAGGCGCTGTTGTTGCCTGCAGCGGCAGCACAACGTGACGACGTTGCAGCGACGACGTCACGTGCGCCTACCCGAGCTCACGGCGGAGAGGAAAATTCAAATTGTCGGCGGTGTGGAAGTTTTATTTTTCGTTGGTGAGGATGTCGGATTCCGAAGATTTATGGACTACATTGAGCCTCGCTACATCGTCCGCAGTCGGAGATATTTTTCCAACGTAACGTTACCCGAGTTACAAGCTGTCATTTCCAACGTCCTTGAGAAGCTAATAGCTGATAGCACGACTTGTTGGGTTAGTTTTACCTCAGACATTTGGACGTCGTGTTGGCCCCGTTAGCGTGATTAGTCTTGCGGCACAATGGATAGACAAAAACTTTGAACTTAAAAAGTCTGTCCTTCATGCACAGGAGTGCAGAGGTTCCCACACTGCAGCTATAGGAACCTGGAACAAGCCTCCACAAGTGACTAATGCTAATAACATTTAACACTTTTCATTTAATATAAGTCAAAGTGCTATGCATATCATATGGCTCTTACAGCTGTTGCACAATTTTTGGCAAATAAGCCTAAATAATAGGGCTATGTTCTGACAAAGGAACGTATTCGGTTATCGGCCGAATAAGTTTTAACATATCGGCATATCAGATATCGGCCAAAAATCCAATATCGTCCATCCCTAATCTCTTTATTACTGATGGTTTCAACACTGTGGAAAGTTTGTCATCTGAACCCAGGCAGGTGAGTTGTACTGTAAAGTGAAAGGTACCGAACACACAGACTTGAGGCACTCCTTTAGAAAGAAACTGAAGTTTTATTCTTAATTTTTATGATATAATCAGATATAAACTGCCCAGTGAGGGCTAAAATTACAGATGGTGTTGTTTTCTGTGTCAGAAGCTGCTGACCAGTCCTGAATGTCTGTTTCTGAACTGAAACTTGGGCTACAAAACATTTACGAGTAAATTTGACAGTTTCTGTTTTTGAATCATAAGTTGTGTTGGTGAGTAGGTTTACTGTTTATACTTTTTCCCCATCTTTATTTAGATTCTCATCAGCTTTTAACAACAGTTGCTGTTAGGTTTTTTTTGGGGCAAACTTTAACTCAAAGATTTGGCAAAGAGGCAAAACTAGCATACATGCAAAATCAGCTAATTGAGACCAAATCGACTTTAAATACTTCAGTTAATCAGCAAAGCTCAGATTCAACTCATACTTTGCATAAAATAAAAACTTTCAGTGCTGTTGTTGGTGTTTTTAGAAGTTTAAAATTCTCATTAGTGGATGTTCTGGGGTAATTCTAACAATTATCATCTCATCTTTCTATTGATGTAATTGTGGCTGCTTTGAACCAGAAAGTTTAATGATTTTATTGTTGTTGCTTTCCACATTTCTTAGTTTACTTCAAGGCACGGGTTGGATGTAAATAGATTGATTGCGTTTTGTCAGCAGCACAATAACTTCATTACCTCACTGCAGCCACCGTATCAGATGTGAACTCTTGTTAGTCTTGAATCAGTAAATGCCAGAATGGGACTGATCTCTGCGTCTCTGACACTTGAAGTCTGCAGCCTGTGAAGAGCCACTTCTGCTTCCTGCAGCGTTACCACCAGCATCTTTTGACCCATTTATCAGAACCGCTCAGACACTTACTGAGCCTCAGCGCAGGAACCAGAAGCTTCTCCCTTATAAAACCAGACCAGCTTCCTCTGATGCCACTCGGTTCAGCGTGCTGCAACAGGAAGTCACAGCGCAGAAAGAGGAAGTGGGCGAAGCCACAACGATAACCAGCAGAGAGATTTTCTCTGTGTCGCCTGAGCAAGTGGAACCCGACCAAACAGTCCCCACAGAACCAGAAACGAACTAGATCTGGGGTCTGATTATTCAGAACGCCACGCTGCTCAGAGGAGCTTTCATTCACAACTTCTGAACTGAAACACAAACACTGGAAATGTTTTTCACTCAGAAAAAACCCCGGGAGCTAAAAACAGAAATATGGATGCAGTTGGAGGACATGGAGGTAGTTGGAGTGAGATGGAGGAGGATGACTCGCTGTGGAGACCCTGAAGAGTCAAGTCAAGTCAAGTCATCTTTATTTGTAGAGCACAATTTAAAACAGATAAACTGTTATCAAAGAGGGAAAATACGAAATAAGTAGTTTGTATGCTGCTGCAGAAAAAGACAAAAATGAAGTAAAATGTGTCTTTTCTGTACTTTACTGTCCTCATAAGTAAACTTTACTTGAGTTACGAGGAGGGAGCTCGAACAATACATCAAATAAAACTGAAAAGAGTCCGTAAGTAGTGAAATAAATGTAACAATCATAAAATCAAACTAAAGAATTTAAAAAACAAATACTTCTCTGGTGCTAAAGCCTGAGGACCAGTTGTTGTCGCCAGATTTGTGTGTTTCTTTTAAGAAAAAGTACTTTTCGTGTAAAAAGAAATGTAAATACAGTTTGAGTGTTGGTTTTGTCTCATCGGATTCAGAAAATAAGACGAGTTTCAGAAAGAATTTTACCGACGTATCACTGATTTTTGCAAACTTTAAAAAGTGCTAAACTTCTTTTTTGTTGTTGTTGTTGTTTTTGTTTGTTTGTCTTCAGACGGTCCCAACATGAAGTCCAGCAGCAGCGACGACCCGGTGCCCAACATGGCCACCACGGCGGTGGGCGTGTCCATCTTTCTGCTCACCACCACCGCCTGCCTGGTCATCAAGTCCCGCCTCTACCCCTGTCAATCACACGGGTAAGAAGCTGAGAAACAGGAAAAAGGTCCGAACGGTCCGGTTCCTCGGCCACAGATCAAAGCAGAGCCGCTGCGAACCGATTTTAAGATTTAACACCAAAATGGCCCGACGTTTCAGAACCAGGGTTGGACTTTTATACCACTTTTATTTGTTTACGATTCCTATTTTTAATTTATTTTAACAGTTATGGCCAGATTATGTGGTTAGAAACACTTTTTTATGTTTTTTTTTTTTTCCTCTGAACTTCTCAAGACCCGACTTGATGCTTCTTGTCCCGCAGCAGGTCCTGAGCCCTGCTGCGGGACACCACGGCTCTGGGTGTTTAGAAGATAAATGACCGTTCTCGTCCCTCAGTGGGACTAGGTGACGAATCAAACGATGCAGATTCACACAAAGCTAGAGAATATTAAAACAACATATGATTAAGAGATTAGAGGAAGGACAACGTGCACGTGTATTTTTACAAAGAAAAGGAAAACCTGTCCCAGAAATATAAAAAGTGTGCACGTGACTTCAGGGATGTAAACACTTCCTGAGTTGGTTGTGATCCAACAGCTGCTGGGTTAACGCTCCTCCGTGCACCTCGGGTGCAGCGGTCTGTCCCTGAAGGAGCTCCAGTTCTGTCATGCAGAGAGTTGGACACATTGTCCAACAAGTTCTTCTGTCTCCCACCTGCACCGGGTCCAGGGGACATCCTAGGACAGAGCTGGTCTTCCTGATGACCTCCTCTCCGCTGTAGAGAAGCTGCTGCTCCAGCAGAAGATGGCTGAAGCCACCACAGAGACGGAGCTGTCCTCAGATCTGCTGGCTGTGGAGGGCCACTGTCCTGCATGTTCATGAACGGGCTTCTGCAGAACCTGAAGACAAGCAGGTTCTGGAGAAACCCCTACCTGCAGGATGGTGGCCCCCAGGACTGGATTCTGTCCATAAATTACATTTAGTTTCTTTTACCTCTTATTAATGAAGCCCTTCTTGTCTTCCAGCAGCCGTCGCTCCTCGGACCAGTTGGACCTGATGGACGGACTTCCTGTGTCCCTTCCGTCCTATGAGGAGGCGGTGTACGGCAGCTGGGGACAGAGGATCCCCCCCTGCTCCTCCCCCGGACCCACGCAGCTCCTCCTGGCGCAGGAGGCCCCGATCGACCAGCCGGACGGCAGCCTGCGGCCCCTCCTGTCCGGTTCTGGTCAGAGCCCCGAGAACCCCCCTCCCCCGTACGAAGAGGTGCAGTCGTCCCGCCTTAGAGACAGGCTGAGCGACGGGACACGTCTCCATGTCTCCGTCTCAGACGATAAGGACACTTGATTTCTGGCCCGGGGGGGGGTGGTCAGAACTGGACTGAGCTGACTCTTGGACTGGCTGCACTTTTCTTGCGTCCTCAGCATCTGGACCAATCACACGGCAGCTGGGACGCCAGCTGAGCTGTGATTGGCTGAAGACTGAAGTGCTTTTTGTGAACGAACCGTCGATCGTTGTGCGACTGAGCGACCGTGACGCGACGTGGACACTTTGCACGAGCGCGTCTCTGCCGTCCGCTCGTTTTCAACCGGGTCAAAAAGAATTTATCCTCGGAACGTTTCAGGGGCGCACCGCGTCCTCTGAGGCGTTTTTGTCTTCAATGTTGTCTCAGACGTTTGTCCAGCCCTCCCCTCAGTGACGGGGCTCATCGGCTGCGTGCTGTTACAAAAACATGCCTGTTTCCATGGCGACCAAACTCTGGCGTTTAAGACATTTGCACAACGTTTGTGTTGAGACTCTCCGTGCAGATTTGTGCACAAACTAAAATTACTGTCAGAAATGTTAAAGATGGTTTTATTTGTCTGATCGCTGACGACTGAATTTTATTTTTATTTGTTTTCAAGCTCCGCAGAGACTAACAGATGTTTTTAATAAATAACCGTCCGTGTTTCTGTTCCACAAAGTGCTAAAACCTTTGAATGTGTGTCCTCATCTGCAGGGCTCTTTTCATTTTTAAATCTTTTTGCAGAGATGCCTTCTCAGACTTTGAATGTATTTAATATTTCATTTTATGGCCACAAATTGTAACTAATGTATGGATTGTAATATTGACAGATGATTGTTTGTATTATTGCACAGTTATGAGATAATTAAATGTCGGTAAGTGTTTTTATGACAGGAAAATGTTTGAATGTTTGAGTTAACGCTCCTCAGTTTAAATTCAGCGCAAATCGTTCTGTATGAACGTTTTTATTTATACAGTTTAGTTTCCATTTAGCCTCAAACTCATTTACTAGGGCAGCACGGTGGCGCAACTGGTAGAGCTGCTGCTTCTCAGCGCGCAGGTTCCTGGTTCAAATCCTGGCAAAGCTTCTAGTTACATATCCTCCAGGAGCAGTTTGAGATCAAGTTGGCCGGTCCAAGGCCAGCGGGGAGGCCAAAATAAGATGAACAAGAATTGTTTGGGCCGTCAGACTCTGATTTCTGTCTGACTTCAAGTTCTGCTGGTTCACTCAATGGTGAATCCAAACAGACAGATTTATAGAGATTCCGCCCAGTTTGTGCTCGATTTAGCTTTTTCCAAGACTGAATCCTTCATGCTGGTGAGTTCCAGGAGCTGCAAGTGGCCTACGATTCTCAAAATCACATCCAGTTTGCAGTTGAGCTCAGTAATCATATGAGTCTGAGAGCTTGAGACACAAATTGATCCTTCACATAAGGCTGGCAGCTTTACCATGGCCGAAACTGCTGCTGACGTCTTCCTAATATCTTAGATATCAGCCGAATCCAAAAAGCAGAAATCCTATTCTCATAAATCCAACAATGTGCACGTCTTCTACGTCCTCCACGGACAGCACAGATAGGCACATCATCTTCCACTCACTCCAGGGATCAATGACATACCCAGCTGCGTGGGTCTGATCAGGGCATGAGGGCTCTCCAGCACCCTGTCGTCTGGTGGAAAAAATTGTGTCAATTGCGTTGAGGGACCAGCTGACCAAATCCATAATTAATAACTAATAACTTTCTATGAATGCTGTCAAATGACTGATCATAAATTAAAAAGAAGCTACGCGGTATACAGTTGGTAAAGCTGTGCCACACAAAATGATTTATTAGGAGAATGCTGGCAAGTAAAAAAAAAATTTAAATAAATAAATAAAAATATATTTTATTTCTATTGAAAGTGAAGAGCAGATCTGTGTCCAGACAAAACTTTATTCTGGTCCAGGTTTGGGCCTGGGACCACCTGTTGGGAACCCCTGGTGTAAAACGCATCGCTAATGTCTGGTACGACCAAGAACGAGTTAAAAGGCAACTCTTAAAAACCGTCACACACAAGCGTTTACAAAAGATCAAAGGGAAGTTTGGCTGCACTGCGCGTGTGTTAACGAGTTTCACCTGAGCTCGTTAGTCACACCTGTTAACGTTTTCAACTTTATTCAGGTTTACAAAAAGTTTCATTTGGAACGAACAAGCAGCTGAACTTGAGACTGATTAAAATCACTGAGGAGGATTTTTCTGATGTAACGTTTTCCTCCTGCTGGTAAATATCTACACAAACACACACAGTCTCATACAGACACACACGGTGAAATAAAATATCGCCGTGTATTTCGTCGATTGTGAAGCGATTGTGCAAACTTCTCTCAGAACAATTCAGGAACAGTTGAGCAACAGTCTTTAAGAACACTTCTCTCATTTCCTGTTCAGATTTAATAAAACGGGTAAATTCTGATTTTTGTCACAGGAAGTTTATTTTAGGAGTTGCAGCAAATGAACATGCCCAAAGGTCATGACCTTTACAGATTTTTTACATAAATTTAAAAACTCCCTGCAATTTTCTCCCCTGCTTTCAGTTTTTTGGGTATTTACATTTAAACAAGACTGATTTTTAAGGATTTGCCATTTATGTTTAACTCTTAAAATGGATAGTAAAATAAATCCTCCAAACGAACTATCCTCATTAATAACCAATCTGCTCTTATGTTCAGAGCTTTTTATTAAGACAGGGACATTTCATTAATGAAAACATTTATTTTTCTTTGACTCGGATACTGACTCAGATTCGAGGGTGGTCAGGGGGTGGTCAGGGGGCTTAGGGAGCTGGTTGATCGTTCAACAGCCTGACTGCACGAGGATAGAGGCTGTGGGCCAGTCTGGTAGTTCTGGCATATACCTTTGATCAAAGAGCAGCTGATGGACCAGATGGTGTTCTGGTTGTGACCGGTCTCGAATGATATGAGCTCAGCGCAGGCAGCGGGAAAGGAAAACAGCGGTGAGCTCTGGGAGGCGAGTCCCAATAATTTTTCCTGCTGATTTGACCACATTTTGAAGAGCCTGCCATTCTGCCTTAATGAGCTAGCTGCTAGACAACCACACGAGCAATCCAGACGTAAGCACGCTTTCAACTGCAGCGATGAAGTTCATCATAAGCCTCGAGGGAGTTTTGCTCTTTAATCTCCTCAGATAGATGAGGCGTCGCTGGGCCTTCCCTATGGCCGATGTAGTGTTTTTTCCCCATGACAGATCCTCTGTCATAATCAGACCCAAGAACTTGAAGCTTGAGACCCTCTCTACCTCATCATTACCAGTGTAGAGTGGACGAGTTGTCCAGTTTTCCAAATGTCTTTTTTATTTTAAGGACCAGGTTACGGTTATTGCACCATGTCGCTGGTTGTTCAACCGCCCTCATCATCGTGATCAGTAATGAGACCAAGCACTATTGTGTCATCAGCAAATTTAATAATATAATTTGAAGAAAAGCAGGGAGAGCAGTCATGTGTGAAATGCGTAAAGAGAAGTGGACTGAGCACACATCCTTGGGGCACCCCAGTGTTAATAAATAGTGGATGAAATGTGCTTGCCAACTCTAACACACTGAGATCAGACGGAAAACCAAGTTGCATAGTATGGTGTTAAGTCCAGGATTGTGCATTTTAGTTAAGTATGTTGGGCAAGATTATAAAGGCCGAACTAAAATCGACAAAAAGCAGCATAGCATAGCAGAGTGTGTAACATGATAGCAACAACATCCTGTTCTTCTTACAGGCAAACTGATATTGATAGAGTAGGTGACATAGAATTTTTTTTTTTACACGTTTAATAAACCTTTCAAAATATTTAGCAGCAATGGTGAGTGCCACCAGCTTGTAGTCGTTAAATTAAAATTTCATTTTTGGAACAGGAACTATACTGTATAGACACAGTTTTGAAATCGCAGCAAAATAAAAAATGTTAAAATTTTGTTAAATAAGCTGTAGACAATTTGAATCGTAATATTAAACAGAGGTTAACAGAAAAAAAGACTAATTTTAGCAAGTGCTGTATGTTTTTAAGATTTAAGCTTTTAGTTTAGCTACATTTACCATAATCTTTTGCTATTTTAGCTAATTTATAGCAACTTGTCGGTATAGCTTTTGTTTCCTTTTAGCTAGTGTTTTGCTACTTTTTATTTTGTTTAGTTACACTCAGCTTTTTTGCAGGACTTTTACTAATTTGTTTTTACTAGCCCTTTGTAAGTGCTACCATTTTGCTACTTTTAACCAGCAATCTGCCTCTTTTATAGTTTTCTGTTTTAGCTTAGCATTTTCACAATGATTTTTCTAGCTTGTTTGACACAGTCACTTTAAACAAAAGTATATTTTATTAGACCAAAAGCAGCTTCAAAACAAACGTCAGCTACTACCACACCAAAAGGTTTAGGTCGTTATGTTTAAAGTGGTCGAGCTACAGACCTTCTGCTCAGGTTAGCTGTGGCAGCCATCTTAATTGGGTGAACTTGCAGATGTACATCCACGACCAGTTCCTGACAGTTTACGTTGCCAAATGGTTCACGAGATATTTTGCTAACAAACGAATGTTGAAGGATTCATGTCGTTGTGCGTACACTAGAAATTTTTTATTTTTACAGCTTTATACGAAATATACACAAATTAGAAATGGTAAATCTGTGACATGAAGTGGGTTATATTTGTTTTTGAAGGAACGTTTGGACCTGGTTTTATTTTTAGCCTTTTCATTATTTACCCCAAATAAACCACCCGTCCGGTCCAGAGGTGGATTTCTCTGAACGATGAGTTCTGTTTTACCTCCGAGTAAAAACAGATGAAGCAACATTTACGGTGATGGATGAACTCGGGACTCTCAGAAATGGCCTCACCTTCCTGATCGCTGTCCTTTCTTCTCATGCTCCACCAGCAGCCCACATCACCTCCAGGAAATACCCAGTTGCTCAACTTTAAAGCAGGAAAGTGACTAGAAATGACTAAATGTTCTTTTTTGAGTTCTGCTTCGCCACCTGAAGGTGTGTCGTCGATGCGAGTTCACGTTTGGTCACAATCTGGACCCAGAAACTTTTTCAAACCAGCTGTTTCTGACTCTTCATCAGCACCATCATCATCCCGGCTGAATATCTACCACAGTCTGATACTCCAATATAGTTTACTGTAGCTACCCCCTGACCTGTTGAGCACGATGCTTTGATTTCCATCTTTATTGTTTAAATAAAATATGTTATATTTATCACCAGCCACCATGAAATCAAAACTACCATTAATTTAGTTTTTAGCTTCAGTTACAGATGGGTCCCAGGCAATAATTATCACCCACCTCTGAAAGTAGAAGCGAGGCAGTCATGTTTGTGCTGGTGTCTGTTAGCAAAATATCTCGTAAACCAGTGGACAAATTTTAATAAATGAATGCAGGAAGTAATCGTTGGATGTGCGTCTGCAACCGGTTAAGTTTTGGAGTCTGTGTGATTCATGATGGCCACCACAATTGGCTGACCTTGAAAAACACAAAAGTGGCTACAGCTCTATCAGTTTCACAGAGATTAAGCTACACATCGGTGTGGTGGTAGCTGAGAGTCAACAGTGTGTCAGGAAAACTCCCAACGACGCCTTGAAGGAATATTCAGTGGCTGTAGGTCTACGAGTGACTAACAGTTGGAGCCAGCCCAATCCAAGATGGCTGCCACAGCCAATGATGTCAAAATCACAAACGAGTATGTTTGTCAGTTGTCCAGGTTTTGTGCCAAGGTCTGGGCTGGTAGTAGCTGAGAGTCATGCGCAACACTGAGCACATTGGCTGTTTGTTGTGTACATGTTCACCCACTTCACGTCTGTTGTCATGGTTACCAAAGATGGTGCTATTTTGCGAATAAGACTGATGTACTTATCTGTCCGTTAGCAAAACATCTTCTGAAGCCCCAGATGAATCTGACAGAAACAGAAAGTCATCACTGGGTGTAGATGTGGAAGATAAATTTGATGGATCCTCAGATTAACGTTTTAGAGTCGCCCTCATTCAAAATGGCCACCACAGCTAATGAGTCTTAGCTAACACAACAATGGCTGTATCTCGTTCAGTTTCACAGATTTTGAGCTAAAATCTGGTCTGGTAGTGGCTGAGAGTCGTCTACAAACTGTTCTCAGAGCTCTAACAAATCAAAAATGGTGGCAGGTGATTTGCATGCGCTTCATGCTGCTGACATGAAATACGGTGCGTTAGTGCTCGAGTGTGTGTTGGGGATGATGCAGGGAAGTAGCTCCTGTCCAGTTCAAGTATTTTAGGCTAAAATGATACATTTAAATGTAATATTATAGCTCTAATAAATAATGTGTTTGTTTGTTTACTTCTTGTAGCGCAGACAAAAACTGAAGTCAATAAATCAGGATTCCTCATCTGGAAAAAAAGATTCAAAACGGTAAGAATTAAAATCCTACTTTAACATCTTCTTATTTTTCCAGTTATTTTAAAAAGATTTAATCTAGTCTTCACGTGTAAACATGAAAGCAACACAAACTTTACCTGTTGTTTACATGTCAGTCATGTGTTTGTGGCACCGCAGGCTTTCCATGGTGTCTGTTAACATTAGAGAATGTGTTTGGAATGACTCTCAGCAACCCAGAAACCATCTCATCACCAGCACTGGATGGTCCACTATGTGGGTGTGCTGCTTATGGGACTGAGTTTGTTGTGGCTCCTCGGACTGAAGAAGTCCTTTGGATGAAGGAAGAAACATCTCAACAAAAAGAATCTGTCCAGGTGACCTGACTGAACTTGTGTATATATTGTCATCGTTGTATGTTCCCATACGATGGTGAAATGGGCTCTCTGCATTTAACCCATCCACCACCAGGTGGAGCAGTGGGCAGCTATTGAAAGCACCCGGGGAGCAGCTGGGGATAGGGTGTCCTGCTCAGAGACACCACGATTGAGCATGAACTTTGATGTAGAGACAAATGTCTTCATTAGGACGTCACGCGTCTCTCCTGTGAAGTGAACATGTTCTGATCCGATGCTTGTGATGCAGCATCATTTCTCTCCTCTTCATCATCTTCAGGATGACTCCAGTCGATGCGCTCCGCTTCAAATTAAACATCTGATCATCAGTCCAAGTCTAGCCTTCAGCATGGACAGAGCTCGCATCAGAGTAACCCCACAGCATTTACCCAGAATGCACTGCAGCGTGAACGTGGTGGCATCCATGTCATTAATTTTTAAAACTTTAAACAGCCCGTTGTATTTTTACCTTCCTGTTGTTATAGCTGAAGTCAACGTCCATCGTTTAAGGTCGTAAGATCTTTAAGGAGATCCCTTTAATCTTGAAGATTATTCCATTTTAAACTCGAGCAATAATTCAAGCTGACCTAATTCAAGACAAATTTACAAGAAAACACAAAAGAATGTTCAGTTTTACAGCTTTATTAAGTTCAAGAGTACATACAGGATAAACCAAAAGTATTTTACTCCTCGTCTGTGAAGTAACAGTCGAAACGAGGCTTTGATTTTCTACTGCGTGGTGAGAAGGCACAGAGCTCAGAGCGCACGGCAAGTTAACAACCCGGCAGGTTTATTCAGAATTTGGTTTATTAAAAAATACAAAGAACGCTTCACGTCACCTCATTACAACACGTGTATCCATCACGTATAATCCGTTACATGTCAAAGATACTAATTTAATCACGTGAGCATAAACATGCAGACTACTCTGATTTGAACCAATACTGGCTTCATTACATCACGTTAATAACTATATTTATTTAAAAAGGGAATTAACAGGGTGACGGATTGGTTCTGATTGATCAGCTTATAGGGAGTGTTAGATAAGCCCCGCCCACCTGGAAGATCAAAGCAAGCTGCAGATGTTCGAACCAGGATTTCTGAATAAAACACGTTAAACACGTCAATAACAATAAAAAAGTGTATAAAAAGTCCTTACATGCCACTGATATCGCAGGTTTTTGGCGTTGTTAAGAAAATAAACTTGATTTGTTTTTAAACGGATATAAATGCGACATTTAGCTGCACCAAAACATTTCCAGATCCGTCTCACTTCAGGTGATGAATCTTTGTGGTGGAAACGAAACGATTAGCACCACCTGCTGTTTCTATAAAAACAGGCAGATTTCTCACATCAAACGGCTGAAAACATGTGAGTGACGGGTCCGCGGCGCCTCGCGGCGCAGAGACACTCGTGAGAGAAATAAAAAACGTTCGAGGTCGACCCGCTCAGCCACAGGTCAGACCCCACGGCACGAGTCAGGTCAACATCTTGTGCGTTCAGGTTTGTGGCTTGTTTTCTGACAAGTGTGCGTTTAAGTCTTGGAGGCGGAGCCGACCTCGAGCTGCTTCAGGTCAAAGGTGAGAGGGGCGGTGAGAGGTCAGCGGTGCGAGGGGCGAACACGTTCCTCATCAGAGCTGCAGGAGACAAAAGAATCGTCAAAAACTTTTAAAGAATTCATATCACCTGAAAATGTTTGTGACTATTTATGAACTCAGTCTGTAAAATATTTCCGGAGTATAATCTGGAGACGAGCTGCGGGTCTTAATCTGTTGTTAAATCTGAGGTGGAGGGGTGTTCACCTGCGGTGTCGCACAGTTCCTGAACGCCTCCCAGAACAGGGTCTCTGTCTGTGAGCAGCTGGCTGCGCCGCTCAGAGTCCAGGTCCAGAACCAGGTCCGACTGGTCCGCTTCCTCCAGAGTGTCCTGGAAACAGTTTCACAGGTCAGTGAAGGAAACGGCCTGAACAGGTTTCAGCTCCACGGCTCCTTTTCTTTCTGATTCTGAGCAGAACCAAAGTACCTTTTCGGACCTGGTTCTGTAAACTCACCAGCAGACTGTGGCTGAGGAGGAGTTCTTCTTCGATGGAGGACGGGTCTGGTTTCTGTCTCTTGTCCTGAACCGTCAGCTGAGGGGACACGTCGTCGCCTCGAGTCCTGAACGAGAAACACGACGACCGTTACAGAAAAACTGTTTGTTGACGGAGGAGGAAAAAACCGGACAAACGTTTTTAATCAAACCTACAAACAAACATGGCGACAACTCGTCTGCATCGTTGGACCTTCTTATAAAAATGATCGTTGGTGCCGAGACGTAAACAATAAACGAGTCTCCAGCCAGATGTTCGGACTCACCGTTTTCTGCTCACGTCAGAGCGTTTAAACGAGAAGGACGGAGGTTTGTCGGCGTCCTCGGGCCGAGCGCTGAGGAAGGTCAGCTGGAAGTCGTCGTCCATGGAGATGTAAGGAGCCAGCATCTCCAGATCCATGTCCTCCGAGTCCTGGGCCCAGACGTAAAGACCTCACTGGTCTGTGCAACAAGACGAGCAATTTGGACTCTGAAAGGTGGATTTTCTGCTTCCTACCTGCAGCGATTCCAGTTTCTTCTGAGTATCTTCTGGACAGAAAGTGAAGAACTTCTCCACCTCGCTGGTGTCCATCACCTCCACGTTACAGGAGCTCTGAAACCAAACGAGGAGGTTCAACCTGAAACCTTCAGCTTGAAAAAGGCTCCTGGTGTTGGTGTTTACCTGCGCTGGCTCTGGAGAGGTGCACGGAGACGACGAGGGGTCGATGGAGTCAAAGATGGGTGCGAGGAGCTTCCTCAGCTCTGGGGTGCACAGGTCTTTAGGATCCTCCGGTACCAACGAAGGACTGGGAGGACTGGCAAACGACAGCTCGACTGGACCTGATGAAGACACCAAATTAGTCTTCTTTGACAAACAAGCTGCTGAAGATTTATTTAGTTTCCATCAGCCATTTTCAGAAATGAGAGCTAACAGAAGTCTTCCTCACTGGCTGCTAGCAGCACCGCGGCGTCTTCGGCTTCAGGAGCCAACTGCAGAAGCTCCTCCGGATTCTCCTTCAGCTTCAGGAGGAGCTCAGCGGGGCTGCTGGGATCCACATCTTCAGATTCAGAGGAACCAGCGACATTCTCGGCGTCGGACTCGCAGGTGGAGATCCCACTGTCCTCAGGCGCGTGGTCCGGCGAGCGGGGTTCGGTCTTCGTCACGCAGCTGCAGCGGGTCTGCTCAGCAGAGAAAACCACGTCCGGCTGCTCCACAGCACTGAAGACAAAACAAAACCAGACGTCAGCCCATCGTCTCCTGCTGCTACAGCCCCGAGACGAGCCGCTCTGCTCCTCTGAGCACCTGAGGATGAAGTTGAGGCAGACGATGGCTTCAGGCTGCGACGTCTTGTTGTTGTAGAGGACGGTCGCCTGCGTCTCCGCCCAGACGTAGCCGCCGCAGTTCGCCAGGAAGCGATAGTGGCTGGTGTTCACCTGACCTTTGGAGAGCACTGCAGACAGAATCCATGTTGGAGTTTTACTGGCAGCAAAAATGGATGAGGATGATCACACTGGACCTCTGCCTCTCGACACCTTCAGCTCGGACACAAGTCCGTCTCGTAAACGAGTGAGGTCCGGTGCACACTGGTCTGAACGAGCGTGAACACTCACACGTTTGCAGACTCCTCCTGATGCGCTCCGAGTCCAGGGCGTGGTAAAACTCGCAGGCCGAGCGTCCAATCAGGTCCTCGGGTTTGTATCCGACCAGCTCCGTGACCCTGGAAGGTTTTTATAGTCAGGGACGACACACTTAAAAAAAACTAAACATAATAAAACTTTGTTTTTTTTTAAACTTCAAATGTTATAAATCTGATAAAGAAAAAAATATGGAGGAGGAAAACGGTATTTAATGTTTTCTTCTTCCGTGTCGCACCTGAGATTTAAAAAAGTAGTTCCTGGTTAGATTTTTGAAGGCAGACTGATCCAGATCTGAGGAGACCTGTTTTTTTATTGGGTTCTCATATAAACCAAGACTCGGGTTTGGTTCTTTACCTTCCCTCGCAGTGTGTGAAGATCAGATCCATGCTGTGGCGGGTCAGGAACGTGCACGTGTCCAGAGGAAACTCCACGCTGGAGGGGTGAGGGATGGGCTCGCACAGCAGCGTCATCACTCGGGCCGCGGGGGGGGCCGCTGAGGGACGGATGTGACCCGTGCAGTGGAGCACCTGGAGGACAAAACCCAAAACCTCCTCAGTCCTGATCTGAGAGGAGCTCCTTCTAACCAGGAAGTAAAGGCCCAACAGCAGCAGCTTTGTGTGTGTGGACATCCAGCTGTTACAAACTAATAAAACTAAACTCAAACTAACGTTTTGTTACTCAGTGAAACAAATCTGTAGGAAATTGAGTAAAGTTTACAAGTATTTAAATGTAATTTTTATTCATTCTACTATTTTTACATAAACTCATCACTTTGTTAAAAACTATGATTTAGTCTGTTTTAGGCTCCGCCCTCCTGAAAGGTCCAGCCTGCTTTGATTGTTGTCATGCCGACCAATCAGCTGGCGTTTTATTAAATGACATCATGTGGTTGATGCATAAAGAACGACTCCTAACGAACTCTTTCCTGGAAGAAATGCTCATCTCCCACCGTGTGTGTGGGTGTGTTGTGTGTGGTGTGTGTGTGGTGTGTGTGTTGTGTGGTGTGTGTGTTGTGTGTGTGTGTGTGTGGTGTGTGTGTGTGTGGTGTGTGTGTGTACGTTTTGCACTGCAGAGAAAATCGTCTCAAATCCAACTTCTTTTTATGTCAGTCTGAACCAACTAATGTGAAGCAAGTTGGAAATGTCATAATTTAATCTGCTCTCATTGAACCTCTTCAGAACCGATCCACACACACGAGCAGCCGTTTCCTTCTGTAAACACGGCGCGCTGCGTGTGACGTCACGTGTTCTGCGTGACGTCACGTGTTCTGCAGGTCGCTTCAGAATCGTGGACTGTTCACGCCAGGGTCCAATGGCGGTCAGGTTTAGATTATAATCTGAGAGGGAACAATCTAAACTTATAATTAAGTCCTGCAGTGTGAAAAATAATAATTTCCAGGCTTTTTTGTTTGGTTCTGGTTCTGAGCCTGAACAAAACCCAATCCTTGCAAATAGAAGCGTCCTTGAATGGATAGATATGAGCTCTGCAGAGCAGGACGGTGTGTGTGTGTGTGAGAGAGACTGTGTGTGTGCACGTGGACTGAATGAACTGTTGGCTGCAGTCCACAGATAAGCCTTACCACTACAGATCACTCTCACACACACACATTAAAAATGTAGTTTTCTGCAGCTGGACTGACGACCGCTGCAGTTTCAAGTTTGGTGTTTGAGGCGAGCACCGGGAAGCGACGGCGACCACGAGCTACCATCGGCGCTCTCTGAGGTCGAGGGTCAAAGTTTACCTTCCAGTTGGCAGACTTGATGTTGACGGTGCGCCCCCTGCTGGTCAGCGTGCTCTTCATTCGCAGGAAGAAGTTCCTCTCGCTCGTCTGTTCGGCCTGAAGCTTCTTACAAAGACCTGAGAACGACGAGATCAAATGAAGTTTTTAAACTTGAAACTGAGATTTACGAGTTTTTAGATCCGTGCTTCACGTTACGTTAAAATCTGGAGAACTCATGAGAAGCTCCGAGTAGGCATATGACTCGATATCAGTGAAACTGAAAGAGTTTGTCATTTTTTATTTATGTTTTTTGGCAATTTGTGATCAAATGCTGTTTCTGACAGCAGGGAGTAATCAGTCGTGTTTGTTTGAACTCTTTCTGTTCTGGAAATAATCGACGTGTCTGACCTGGACGTGGAGTCAGCAGATCTCTGAGCTCCTCCTGATCGCAGGGATGAACAAAGTCGTAAACACTCTGACCCAGCAGGTCCAGCTGCAGACAAACACACACCTCGGTCACAGACTAATCCCTGAAACGGGGCGCTTCTAGCGTCAGACCTGGTGTTCTGGTTAATATGTACTTCACAGGTGCTGCTCAGATAATCCAGAAGCAGCAGCAGTGAAATGATCCAACTGCAGGGTGTAATCTTTGGGGCTGCAGGACAACACGTGTCCCTCGGACTGTTTTAGTCAAACAGCTAAGAATAACCCTCCAGCTCGAGTTACAAAGACTCCAGCCCACAGTTGGTTTACAGTAAAAACCGTCTCCGGTGAAGACCAAGAGACGTGCTGCACCTGAGCGATGCCGATGTGTTTGTTGACGTTTTCCGTCAGGAAGATCATGTCCCCCTCCTCAGTCACCACCATGACGAAACCGGCCAGCGCCTCGGGGAAGAAGGCGTCCATCGGATCTTCATCCTGCGCCTCGTCTTCCTCATCTCCTTCTGTTGGATTAAAAACAAACAGATGGATTATATTACAGAAACACGACTCGGTGAAGTTCACGGTTTGAATCACAGCCTGAAGAACTAAAGGTTCACTGATGATCTTCTCTTCAAGTTAAATTTATAAATTAATTCAAAATTAAATATATTTAGAAGCATCACAGACATGGACGGTTCAAGTCATTTTGTTAAAGTTAACAGACATTTTAAAATACTCAAATATAGTTTTAAGAAATATTCTCGTGGAAAAGACAGCTATGAACTGGCCAGATTATGTTATCAGTTCGGGGAGCTACACGGCACAGTTTGTAGTTAAAACATCAGTTATGTTTTAACGTTTCCATCTTTTCTTCGTTGAACCCTGAAAAATACGTCTGTAAGTAGAACTTATAACTGTCTTGGTTATTGACTTTAAAGTGTTTTATTTTAGTCAAACAATGCTAACCCTTAGCAACGGAAATCCCATAGGCAAGCTAACAGTTAGCATCTATGCTAATCGTTAGCCTGGAGACATGAAAATATAGAAATCAATGTTGTGTAAAACAAGTTATTTAAATTAGAGATTTAATTGTGATTCTGTCCCTCTAATTTATTTATTTATTTATTTATTTATTTTACGGATTTTTTGCAACAGAACCAGCGCTGCAGACTTTGTCCTACTGAAGCCAATAATTTCTAATCGTTAAAGCTAATTTGTGTGATTCATATATGTTAAAATTATTACACTAATAATTTTAATATCACTGCAATTGTGCAATGGTTGATTGGTAGTTTAGTCATCAGGTGTGGGGGAGGAGCTTAAATCTGGGGCAGGCAGTGGAAAACTCACCTGCTTCATGACTCGTGGTCACTACGCGTTTGAAAAAACACTTCCAAGCTCTTACAGCCAAACAACTTGTCCTTTTATCACTCTCCTAATTTATTTTTTTATCCAGTGCCAACACTTTTTTTCTCATGTACTCATCATGCTTCTACTCTTGTTTCAACAGGATTGATAATAACTTAGTCTTCACTGGTCACAGTTCTCTTACCGGGCCGCAGGAGTTGCTGCAGTCGCAGGAAGCTGAGCGTCACCCTCATGATGCCGGCTTTGTCCAGGTGGGTGCAGACTTTGCGCGGCAGCGGCAAGGTGCGGGCGAGCTCATAAAACACCTCCGTTTCCTGGCTGCGCCGACATCGGGCCGCGTCACGGGAGCGGAGCTTCCTCTGCTCCGAGCTGCTCCTGCAGGAGGAGGAGGAGTGACAGAAATGAAGGATTGGAGATGGATCGCCGAAACTAAGCTCAGGTGCGACGCACGACGTGTGGAGTTCAGAAACAAACATCTGATCTCGCGTCGGATTCAGATGAAACAAGATGCCGCAGCCACAAGCGTCCACAGACTTCTGACCAATCGCACGATCTTTGGCGCGTACGCCTGTGAGAAAAAGTTCGGTCCGGGCCGTGTGCCGAGAAGGGGCAGAGCTACTGATGCAACTTTCACTGCTTCGGATGGAGTCCATCAGAAACCTGTCTGATCCTAAACGCATACTAATTAATTAAACCGGACCATAAATACATTTTATATATGATCAATTAAATCTGATCATATATATGTATTAATACATTAAATCTGATCCTGAACACAGCGGCTGCTAACAACCATGAAGCTAAGCTAATCAGATCCACCCTATACGTAGGTTTACAGGTGGAGCACTATCCTCCACTAGTCAACATAAAGTTATTGTGCGTTACCAAAATATAAATTAAACAAAGAACACCTTCCCTTTAAACAGTCACGTCTGGCGAAAGTCTTATTAGCATTGGTCTCAAACGCCTGTATCAGCCCCACCTACCATCAGACTCTAATTAATACATTAAATTTGATCATAAATATGTAACGAACACAATCATTGGGCTGTCAGTCATTAAACAAACTCCTCCTGTGCAGCGTCAGACTAAGCTCAGCCTTCTCTCCAGACACCGAAGTCCTAACCGATGAGAAAGAACCAACGTGTTTCTGCCTGGAGACAAACCGTTTCTTTCTCAACTGCAAAGTAGTTTACAGAAAACGAGAGAAATTAGTAAAACTACAAGAAACTCTTCATTGTAAAATGTTTCATACAAAATACACATTAAAAATAGAGGTGCACCGATAAATCAGCCCCGATTTCCTTAATTTTGGGAAAACGGACGATACTTGTACGAGAAACCGATTTTACAGATTTTTTTGGTTTTAACAACAATTGTCTGAACTTCATTTATATTTCAAAGCACTACCTCATGGCCCGTTACAACAAGTTTATTGTTTATAGGATATTGTTCGAGTATGTTTTTCAATACAATGATATTGGAAAATTGAAGGTGCATCGTGACCTTATGCTGGTGAAGAGTCTCGGTCATCCAGGACATGGTAAATTCAAAAAACGTTAAATACAAAAACCGCTGGACTTTATTTGTAACAGAAGACGTTTCGCTTTCCGTTTCCTCGGATGAGGAGCGAAACGTCTTCTGTTACAAAGTCCAGTTGTTTTTGTATTTAATGGGTTTTTTTTATTTTTATTGTGACCTTTTAACTCCTGACAGTGTTGCCTATAAAACAAAATCGGGATCGGCCAAAATCGAAATCGGCAGGTCAGACTTTTTAGGAATCGTGATCGGCCAGAAAACTGCAATCGATGCGCCCCTAAATAAAAAATGTAATATTTTGTATGTGCTGAAAAAAATTGATTCTTTAAAGGATCTAGATTCCTAGTCCTGGCGATCCTGAATTGATTCTAAAGGCCCATAAATCAATTTTAAAATGCGTTTTGTTTTTTTTCCCGCTCCTACTCCTGAGCGTACTGCATATTGCACTGTGTCCATTCAAACACTGCAGAATTTGGCCTTGTAGGCCACCGTACAGCAAGCTAGTTAGCCAGCTCTTTATCTGAACGGAGCCCGCTAGCATGGAGCAGGAGAACCGCGCGATTCAACCCGCCGCTTCATCGTTAAAAGTCGGTGTACGGACACGTTTCAGATTCTGCAATGGAAGACAAGAGCACGGTTGTTTGCAAAAAGTGCCAAACGAAATTGCGGCATTTTGGAAATATGACAAATGCGCAGGCCCGTTTGGTGAGACGTCACCCTGAAATAAAGGAAGATGAAAAGCAGCACACGTCATTGTTGTCACCGATAACGCTGCAAATATGCTTTGCTGCTGCGCAGCTGGAGCACCTGACACGCGTCACGTGCGTTGCCGCCCAGCGAGCTCTAAAAGTAAACGCTGGCCCACACGTCATGCGCTGGAGGACAAACAAAACTCCACGCAAGCTGAAGTCTGATGTTACAAGGTGGAACAGCTGTTACGAGATGCTTGAAATATTTCTGGAGCAGCAACCTGCAATTTGTGCCGCCCTCCTTTCACCCCGGGTGAGAACATGTGGACACGCAGATATTTCTCTCTGGATGAGACCGACATCACCCGTGCTGAAGGAACGGCCATGACTCTCGGGTCTATAAAAGATGAACATAATACCAGAGGACTCGGCACCAACTCTGTCAGTAATCGCTTCAGTGCATTCTCAGCTGCTTCTTGACACACGGGCAGACTTCTGTGATACACCAGTTGTCTGTGAAGTTAAAAAAGCAATGATCTGGCAAAGAGCTACACAAGCGAACAGAGTGAGACACCTATCATTAACCTTTATTTAACCAGTCAAATCCCACTGAGATCACAGATCTGTTTTGCAAGGGAGGCCTGAAGGCAGCCTAACATGCACGGAGAAAACACCCAAAAAGACTGGGGATTGAACCCAGGACCTTCTTGCTGTGAGGCAACAGTGCTAACCACTGAGCCGTCATGTCGCCAAACTTCTGCCATACTTGTGTAAACTGCTTCTACCCTGGATCAGAGATTCAAAACTCTTCCGTTCCACACGGAGAGCAACGTCAGGAGATCCATGGGAAAGTAACGGACGATGCCGTTTTACTCACGTTATACAAAAAACTTTATCATACAAGTTTTATGACAAACTTAATTTGTCTTTTTCAAAGGCTGAAGAGTGAGACATCACCTGGAGCCAGTTCTAAACGATGCGTTTTATTTCGGTTTATAAATTACGGTTCAGAGGAGTTTTTGCGCAGGTTTTGAAATTTTGTTAAAGATTTACCAAATATGAATCAATAGACTGTGAAGTAATATTTCATATTAGGTTAAAGTTTGAAAATATAAAATGTTAGAGCAATATGGTTTAAAAAACTGTGAAGTCTGTATTTTGAGTTAAAGGTTAATGCACTATGGCAGGCTGGAGTCTTTGTTTACCTTTATATTTATACATTTTGAATTATTTGTCTGTGATGGACTGAGACCTGTCCAGGTGTCCCCCACCTCTCACACACTGATGGCTGGACGTGAGCACCAGTAAACAAAATTTATGACCGTTTCAATGGAAAAATAGTTTCTGAATCGAATCGTGACACCAGAAATCTAAATCGAGTCCCCAGCAACACCTCCGTTTGTTTAATGCTCGTTTGTGGAAGTTAAACTTCTGCAGTCAAAACGTAAAAGTGACGGTTTATTTCTGAATGCTTTGTGTCATTTCACACTTCGTACATGGTTCAGCTCCATGGAGAACAACGTGCAGCGACTCCAGGGTGTTTGATTAAAAATGTTAATATTTCAAAAACGGTTCTCTTTATAATCTGCTTCACTTGATTGGCTGTTTTCTTTTGCTCCATTTAGCTACCGTGCAGCTACAATTCTGCTCATTGTAGCAACTGCTCTGTAGCTTTTAGCTCCTCTTTTGCTCGTTTTACCTCCTGCTCTGCCTGTTTTACCTTTAATACGTTTCCTGGAATATCTTGCAAAAAGATCTGAAGCTCTCGACCTTGACCTCTCTGGGACCAATGCAGACATGTTCCTGTTTTTAGTTTTCTACGTTCGCCTTATAATTAGCTGTTTTTGCTATTTTTTTGCAATCTTATTTTAATTTGTTAAAAATAATAATAATAATCGGTATGCTTCTTACGTCTGTTGTCATCATCCTTTGTTGAAATCAGGTCTCTCGTGTAAATGAGTCCTGGAGGCTCAATGGGACTAACTTGTCTAAATAAAGGTTGAACGAACGTAACTGCTCAGTTTTAGTTTCTTCAGCTGATGTTACATCATCAGCTCTGCTTTCTTTGCATTTGCTCTCGTTCTTACATCATCAAGGATGCATCTTAAAGCTTCGGTACTTTAGCTCATTTAATGAACTAAATCCAAACTTTTAACTCAGAAAAACAAATTAATTCAAACCAGCAAAAGTTTTCAACTGGTGTCTGGACTGCAGGCCGTCATCGGTGCCTCCTAGGGTTCTGAATAAACCCAGCAGAGCAACTTTTGGATCCGTGCAGAAAGTCCTGGCAGCGTCTCCTGCAGCGTTTTGGATTTTTAAGCTGCCAGAAATGGACAGGATGTTCTGAGTCCGGACGGTTCTGTTCTGTAAACACGCACACTCGTTTCTGCTCAGAGCCGAGGCCAAGACCAGAAACAACATGTCCCAAACTGCAGAGGACACAACGCCGTTTTAGCTTTTATTTTAGCTGCTGGAAACATACCACACCACCCTCGGATCAGAACCACAAAGCAGCTCTGAGGCTCGGTCACCGTCCAGACATGTCAGAGAACCCAACAAGAACCCAACGAACTGGTTCCTGATCAAAATAACGTCAGCAGAACGTCACAAAGAAGGACAGGAGGCGACCACAGCCGACCTGACCCGAGCGCCCGACCCGTTTAAGGTTCTGAGAGTTTCGTCTGACAAAACAGAAAATCCCCACGGATGGACTGCCGCAGACCGGATTCTGGACTCTAGTTCAGAACGGGGTCTCGCAGACC